ATTGGACTGTATTGAATTATTACATCACTTCGCTCGTTTCAATTCATTCACATTCATCTTGCGCAACCATTATTCTCCCACATTGACACTCATTTCTCCCCCGCCTGGTCTCCCTCTGTGCTCGCTCTCCCTTTGATCTTGTTGTAGACCTAGGCTGCGCTTGTGTCATCTTGCCTAGCCACTTGTCTTCTCTTGTCCTGTTTCCCGGTCTGTCGCATGTCTTCAAGGCCTCTGGTTCGCTTGATCAACACCACTACGGTACTCACCAGCATCCCAACCCGCTCCCTACCGCCACGGAATTTCCGATTCCATATCCCATATCCCAGGCTCATATCTCTGCATAAGATCCCCAGCATTGCGTTCCCTCATTCGATTTTCAATAATTCTCTCGCTCGTTCCTGTTTTTCTTCCAGACGACGCCACCTATCCTCCAGTTCTTCTGCCTCTTTCCTCTTGCTCCAACAACAACAGCAACAGCAACAGCAGCATCAAGTTCACCCTCTATATCAAAAGCCCCAGCACACTATGGCAATAGTTGAACGCCTTGCTGAGGACCTCGAGAAACCCTCTGTCGACGATCGCTCCTATCGTGTTATCCGCCTTCCAAATAAGCTCGAGGCTTTGCTTGTCCATGATCCTGAGACGGATAAGGCGAGCGCTTCGGTTAACGTCAACGTTGGGAATTTTTCAGACGATGATGACCTCCCAGGAATTGCTCATGCTGTAGAACATGCTCTTTTTATGGGAACTAAAAAGGTGAAGCCGTCTAACCTGTGTCTGCTGAGATGACGTATAATTGACACATGTGAGAAGATAAAGAAAACTAACTCGTGAATTTTGCCGTATAGTACCCAAAAGAAAATGCTTATAACCAGTACCTAGCAGCACATTCTGGACATTCAAACGCATACACTGCAGCAACGGAGACGAATTACTACTTTGAAGTAGCCGCCACAGCAACTACGCTTTCCAAAAACGCCCAGGCGACCACTCCGACCACCCCGTCAACACCCACAGAGGTGGAACCATTGACGGATGGCCTTTCAAGGTCGACCCTACCTGCTACTACTACTGTAGCCGACAGCGCAGCATCCTCGACTAGCGATTTGGTCCCCCCGCTTTATGGCGCCCTTGATCGATTTGCTCAGTTCTTCATCGCTCCACTATTCCTAGAGTCTACTCTCGACCGCGAGCTCAGGGCCGTGGATTCAGAGAATAAAAAGAACCTCCAGAATGATGCCTGGAGGCTTATGCAGCTCAACAAATCACTTTCTAATCCCAAACACCCCTACCACCATTTTTCCACTGGAAACTTGCAAACGTTGAGGGACGGGCCGCAGTCACGTGGTGTTAACGTACGTGATGAATTCATCCGATTCTACGAAACAAATTACTCGGCAAACCGTATGAAACTAGTTGTGCTGGGTCGCGAATCACTGGACGAGCTAGAGGGGTGGGTTACAGAGCTGTTCGCCGATGTTAAGAATAAGGAGCTGTCACAAAATAGATGGGACGATGTACAACCATACACCCCGGCGGATCTGCAGAAAATCTGTTTCGCCAAACCAGTCATGGATACTCGATCTTTAGAAATTTTCTTTCCTTACCAGGATGAAGAGAATCTGTATGAATCTAAACCGTCCAGGTATATCAGTCATCTGATTGGCCACGAAGGACCTGGTAGCATTCTTGCCTATATCAAGGCAAAAGGTTGGGCATATGGCCTTTCCGCTGGTGCAATGCCCATCTGCCCAGGCTCCGCATTCTTCACGATATCCGTCCGTCTTACAGAGGACGGTATCAATAACTATCATGAAGTCATCAAAACTATTTTTCAATACATTTCCATACTCAAATCACGAGCGCCCGAAGAATGGATTTTCGAAGAGATGAAGAATCTCGCGGAGGTCGATTTCAAATTCAAGCAGAAATCCCCGGCAAGTCGTTTCACGAGCACCCTCAGCAGCGTAATGCAGAAACCATTCCCTCGTGACTGGCTCCTCAGTGGGCCAAATTTGATGCGGAAATTTGATGAACAAGCCATCCGACGCGGTCTCGATTGCTTCCGTATCGATAATTTCAATATTGAACTTATTTCGCAGACGTATCCTGGGAATTGGGACTCCAAGGAGAAGTGGTATGGGACCGAACACAAAGTCGAGAAGGTCCCGGGCGACCTACTCTCTGAGATCGGACGCATTTTGGAGTCCCCTTCATACAACCCGATGCCAGAACTTCATTTACCACACAGGAATGAATTCGTCCCGACGCGCTTTGAAGTTGAGAAAAAAGAGGTAGCGGAACCGGCAAAGAGGCCCACCCTCATCCGGAACGACGACCGTGCTAGAGTATGGTTCAAGAAGGACGACACTTTCTATGTCCCTAAAGCAAGTGTTCAAATCGCCCTTCGGAACCCGCTGGCTTATGCTACCCCGGGTAACAACGTCCTTACAAGAATAGCGTGCGCTTTAATCCAAGATGATCTCCAAGAGTATTCCTACGATGCTGAGCTAGGTGGACTTGATTATAACTTGACCGCCAGTGTATCCGGTCTCGAAATGTCAGTGTCCGGGTACAATGATAAGATGGCAGTGCTCTTGGAAAAGGTTCTACACAGCATGAGGGACTTTAAAGTCAAGCCTGACCGATTTAAGGTTGTTAAGCAGCGAATGGCCGACGCCTTCTCGAATTCTGAGTATCAGCAGCCCTACTACCAGGTTGGGAATGTGACAAGATACTTGACGGCAGAGAAGACTTGGATTACCGAGCAACTGGCAGCTGAGCTGGAACACATTGAACTCGAAGACGTGGCCGCTTTTTTCCCACAGCTGCTCCGTCAAACCCACATCGAACTTCTGGGCCACGGTAACCTCTACAAGGAAGACGTGCTGAAAATGGCTAACATGGTGGAATCATCATTCCATTCCCGCCCATTGCCCCAGTCCCAATGGCACGTGCGCCGAAACATAATCATACCACCGGGAAGTAATTTCATCTACGAAAAAACCCTTAAGGACCCCGCAAACATCAACCACTGCATCGAATATTACCTGTTCGTAGGCGATATAATGGAACCACAACTACGCGCCAAATCACTCTTATTCGGGCAACTTACCAACGAGCCCGCATTCGACCAACTACGGACACAGGAGCAGCTAGGCTACGTTGTGTGGAGCGGCATCCGGTATGGCGCCACCACACTGGGGTATCGGGTCATCATCCAAAGCGAGAGAACAAATCAGTACCTAGAGTCTCGCATCGAGGCATTCCTAGCCCGCTTCGCGGGGACGTTGGACGGCATGACCGATGAGGAATTCGACGGCCACAAGCGAAGTTTGATCAACAAGCGCCTCGAGAAGTTGAAAAACCTGAATTCTGAAACGAATCGGTTCTGGTCGCATATCGGCTCCGAGTACTTTGACTTTACGCAGCATCATACTGACGCGGAGAAAGTGTCGGAATTGACCAAAGGGGATATGGTAGAGTTTTACCGGCGGTATATCGACCCACAATCACCGACGCGTGCGAAATTATCCATCCATCTAAACGCGCAATCCAGTGTGCAGCACAAGGATGTTGATGCTGGTGTCGTATTGAACACAGCGGATGAGCGCAAGACGAGCATAATCGAACAACTGTCAAACATCGCATCACAATCATTGACAGAGTTCGACAGCGACAAGTTTAAAGCATCATTCGCCGATGTGAATTTCATGACAAGCGACGTTGCGACGAATAAGGACGTCATCATTTCAGCGGTCAGAGGCTTCCTAGAGACCGAACTAAAGCTTGATAGTGAGAAGGTAGCTAGCATCCTCGCGCCGACTACCAATGTTCTCGATGAGCTATTACAAGGGTTTGTAATCATGTCGCCTCCATCCACGACTGGTGATGCCACCTCCCCTGCTATCGAGAAAGCTAACGGGACCGTCAACGTGACCGTCAACGGGACGAGTAACGGGACGAAAAATGGCGCTATGAATGGTCATGTTGTTGCGACGCCACCGGCAATAACAAACCCGGTGCAGCCGGTGTACATCACTAACGTACCGGAGTACAAGGCGCGTCTTCCCATTAGTGCTGGGCCGTCTCCAATCGTGGACCTGAGCGAGTTTGAAGAAATTGATCCGAAGTTGTAAAGTCGCCTTCCCTTTACTGCTTTTATATTGTTTTTGCCCTTATATTTTGTGTTGGATGACGGTTGCTCGATGGAAGAGGGAGGTTTCGGTTTAGGATCAATCCAATCAATCAGCCAGTGGGATATGTAAAGTGATTATTACCTTATGTGATTCTGTAACTACCTAGGGCGCTTTCCGGGCTATATGTTTCTCATTGATTTGTTTCATTTTTTCCATCCTTCTGTTTTCATAGATATACTCGGAGCTTCTGTGTTCCATGTCGCCTATATTTTGCGCGGAAATAGCTATAGAGAGCAGGAAGTTACAAGGCTGTTAGTTAATGGGCGACGTGTGTGTGCCTATAGTTATAGTTACTATTACATACAACGCCTAGGGAAGTTAAGGTTTCTCATAAATGCTTACCTGGTAGCTCACCCTCAAGCTTCCCATATCCTACAACGCCCGCACGAAGGCGTATCCATGGACAATGTATGCACATGTACAAGTAGCCATAGCACCCAAACAGATTCAATGAGGGGTTTTGGAACAGTTCAAGTGTTGAGCCGCGCAATTTCTTGTCATACCTATCTGGAATTGCGAAATTTCCTTTCCTCATTCTTCTTTGTCACTGCTTGTCCTCTTGCCTATGTATGGGGGCAACTCATCATCATGAATACAGTGATCAGATTCTCATTTATTTATTGATTGGTTGTTAGGTTTGAAACATTTGTCTGCATTGTGATGTCGGGGGAGGGAGGAGGGAGGGTATGTACTGTTTATTAAATAAAAAAATAAAAAATAAAAAAATAAAAAATAAAAAATAAAAAATAAAAAATAAAAAATAAAAAATAAAAAATAAAAATAAAACCAAAAAGTAAATTCTGGGGCGAGCCGGGATTGAACCGGCGGCCTTACGATAAGAGACTGGAGTTCACTTCAGTCGTACGCTCTCCCAACTGAGCTATCACCCCATTGGATAGTGGGAAGGCCAGACTTTTGGTTCCTTGTGCCATAATTTGAAAGCGCACATAAACATGATAACCCGCACCGGAAATACTCACACAATAAACAGTCATAATCGTCCTTCAAGTGCTAAGGCCACAATGATCCCTCTGGTTATTCTACATTATTATGTATGATAGGGGATACCAATGCTCGGTCGCAAGTGCTTGCAGACCTATTTGAATGATTCTGTGGAGGGGAGACGAGGGCTATGACGAAGATATTCAGGCGCTCATATCTCGATGTATGTAATGTACATGTATATGTACGTTTGTTCCGATCGTCGATACCCGTAGTGAGTCTAGAGAATATGTTCCTACAGGAATCATAATAATACAGAAAACTATGATTTGGTGCGAAGTTCGAAGACGGGGGGGAAAATACTAAATAAATAAAAATAAATAAAAATAAATAAAAATAAATAAAAATAAATAAAAATAAATAGATAAAAAATGAAAGCCATGGGGCGAGCCGGGATTGAACCGGCGGCCTTACGATTTAAGAAAACCAAAGTTGAAACTTCAGTCGTACGCTCTCCCAACTGAGCTATCACCCCTGCGATATGTGGTGTGCAAAGAGAGCTTGCTTGTCCAAGAGATCCAATGCAGGAGTCACGGCACAAAACCTTGTCTGAGCATTTGGAGCAATAGCGAATTATTATCCACGCACTTACACATCATCCCACATATAAATATATCAATATATGGACGGAGTACTTCTGAGAAGGACGACAACAATATCTACTAATTTGCAGAACATGGGTTGTACTCACACAGCGATACCGAATATGAGGATTCCTAATCCCTTCAACGCGTATCTCCTCTGCTGGATCGCATTCATCTGAATTCAACCCTGCGTATCGCCTCAACACATACAAGACATAGATCGGAGAGCCATCCTCGTCGCTAACTTTGAATCTCCGCAAAGTTTAGTATTTATTAAACTTATGATCTGCAGCGGCTTACACAATTTAGTCTTGACCGTTTCCCCGTCCCCTTGGACGTTCGTTACCCTGAAGTTGCTCAACAACACATCTACCTACTACATTCATGAACATATGCCCTGCCATCGCCAACAATATTAAATGATCAAAGCCGGTTTTATATCGCTATGAACCTTAGAAATGTCCCATTTCCAGTTGAGTCGACATGCCTTCTCTTCTAGCGTTTGCGCATACACTGAGCAGTACTGGGGTATATAACACTTTCCTGCACTGATGCCAGAAGCATCCTTGTAAAGGACTTTATTGTGCGGAGTAGAGCTCTACTAATCTAAAATCTCCCCCTCTAAAAAAAGAAAAATAAATACAAAACGAAGAATATAATAAATGAAAGAATTAAGCAAAAAGTAGATTCTGGGGCGAGCCGGGATTGAACCGGCGGCCTTACGATTTAAGAAAACCAAAGTTTGAAACTTCAGTCGTACGCTCTCCCAACTGAGCTATCACCCCATTGGACATTACAGACGGTAACCATCTGCGCCCCTGAGGATATTCACCGCGCTTGGGATAAGATTTTAAACAAAAGAGATATACAGGTTGGTCAATTTCTAAATAGGAAGCTGAATGTGCTCCTGGGAGCCTATGTTAGCGGACGCATCTCAAATATATAGCTATGCTTAGTGTGTGGATAACCAATGCTAGGCTAGCGTGGTCGTTTCTTGAATACAGAAGAGTACGAAGTCTTGGACCAATACAAGCCCCTAATACGTGCCGCGAGACAGCTAATGGGTGATATCGTAAGAGCACACAAAGATGTCAGGCTCTAGCCAGCGTTAGGAAGAAGGGACAAAATTAACCCGGTTTGTGTTCTGGGAACGTCACCTCAATGGTGTTTTTTCGGCCCTGGACCGAAAACCACAACGAACAAGTAGTCCAAGAAGAACTACCCAACTCAGGATTCAGGACCGAGCATTAAGGCTTGCCGAGAGTTTGATCGACCTGCCTATCAGGGGCGACTTCCATGAGCAATTTTCATACAACAAGCATCTTCATCTTACAAAAGCACAGCGAGACGTCCGCGAGGACCTAACGGTATCCGCAAGAGATGAGTTGAGATCTGCATTCCCAGTTAAAGCTGGCGAAGTAGAAGAGCGTCGATCACTTCTCGAAACCAAAGGAAGGAGAAGAGCCAACACATTCGAACATATTTGCAGGATCTAGAGAAAATTTCGGAAAAGGAAACATAGGAGGTTGCTCTCCAAACAAGGTCGACAAATGATGCCTTGGTGAGTGAAAATCCAGCGCTTGAGGCCTCATACAAAAGCCATGGTTTAACTAGAAAATAGGAGCTTTGGAGGTTTCAGGCAAGAAGTTACCAGGTGGTGGAGTCCTGGCTTGCCGTTGGCCGAAACATTCCCCTTTGCCAAAGCGCCGCGATCTTATTTCTAGAACTCTTGGCTAATGAAAAGCTGGACGATCTCGAAAAGTCTGTAGTCGCAGATTCTGACTGGCTCCAGGGCTGAGATGGTATAAAAAGCCGATGGAGATCTAATAGAAAGCCGACAGGAGCTTAAGAGGGCATTTACACTTCTCCATTGTAATAATAGAGAAGCGCTTTAATCGGAGTGCATTGGGACTTCAACAACCGCGGAATTGGCGATGGAAGTGGCGCGGGAATATACAGAATACAGACAGACGTTCTTGTCCGTGAAAGCAGGATGCAAAGGAACTTCTCCTAGTGAATGAGTGGCAACTACAGGCAAGGGGAAATCCGATAGAATTTAGCGAACCCTCCTAAAATGAAGGGGCGTGGTGCATTTGACTCGTTCCTTAGCCGCTCAGAGAGGAAGAACTCGATGGCTTTCGGAGGGCCATCTAGCAATACTATGTATGTCATGGTTGGAGAGGCCTGAAATTGTGTGGCTATCCTCGAACCTTCGTTGCGGAAGGGTTCAAGTTTTCTTGGGAAAGCAAACTTTTCTGCAATGAAGATGGCATTGACAAGAACCGGACAGCAGGCTGGTTGTCCACTACTGAGATACCTTGTAACCGTGCCATGCTTACTCACTCTCTGTAGTGAGTGCGCCACAGTGTACGGAAAACCACACTGTAAAGAAAATATTTTCAATATCTTCATTCTTCATCTTCAAATAATCATCATTAATTATAACCATGTCTAAATCTTCTAATTACACTGAGGAGCAGTTGCAAAGAGCTGTTGATGTGTACAAAAGCAATTCAAAATTAAAAATCACATCTCTGTTGTGAGAATTCAAAGTCTTATATACTACCTTGTATGAGAGAATCAACAGGAAGAAATCAAGGACTATGAGAATTTCACTGAATTGAGCATTGAATGACAGCCAGAAAGAGACAATTAAGATATGAATTCATCAATTAAATATTAATTTTTGCCCATTCATCATCAAGCATATTGAAGCTGATTATAATGAAATTGAAGATTCATCTAGAGAATTGTGTAAGAAATCCCGCTCCTCGCGGATCCTTTACCCCTATTCCTATCTCTCGCGTAACCAATAGGGCTAGCAGCCCTTGGCTACACACAACTATATAGACTGGAGTTTGTGAATACTATTCATAACTCAGCTTGAATGCTATTATACATTTAATCTCTACATTTATCTTTCTACTGTGAACACTTCTAGTAGTTAACAGTATATATCATGTCAAGCTGCAAATATCTGAATAATCACCTGTGAGCACTTATTCTTATATTTCAAGCTCAGTCAGTCAGCAATCACCTGTTATGACTGAAAGAACTAGAAACTCATATACTTCAATCCCTGTGAACTCTACTGCAGACACTCAGAAGCAGTCACTCAAATCATGAATAATCTCTGTGAAAGAAGTCTCAGAGAACTTATCAATCACTTATAAGATATCATTCTCTGCATCTGTGACAGAGGAACTCTCTGAACTCATAAATAAATCAATCTCAGTGAAGAACATTCTTGAGCATCTTCTGTGAAATCAAGCTATTTTTCTATAAGAAATACTTACTGTCTGTAAACACTCTCAAACTGAGTTTCTAGACATGATCTTCAGAGATATCTGTGAACTGAAAAGAAACTTTCTCAAGCTGTAATTACTTAAGATCATCTATTGAATCACAATCTATAAAAGCTTTTATAAGTTTGTATTTGAAATTGACTTACAAGTCTGACTGTGTGATATGAAAGATAAAGAAGCTGTCATCTATATAATAACAGACCTCTATTATACTGAAGTCAAGAACTGACTGAATTATCTAGAGAATGATTATAAGAGATTCTGATAATCTGTTCTCAAGATCTATCTAGAGAATAAGTTAAGAGACTCTGTGAGTTAAATAGAGAACATCTGAGCTGTGATTATCAATATTAGAAAAAGAGGTGAGAAATCTGATGAAGACTACTCACAGCACTTTATGAAATTATGATATGAATTGAGATCTGTGAAAACAGAGCTCTGAAATAAGATCTGAATGATAATATTTGTAAAGAGACTGAATAAAGACATGCAGAATAAGCTTATTAAGCAAGACTCTAAGTTCTTAACTCTGAAGAAATTGATGACTCTTATTCATCACTTACAGATCACTGTAAGAGTCACAGATCTGTGAAGAGCAGATCATCAATCAGCTCTGTGAGAGTCAGAATAACAGAGAACAGATTTATTAGAAAAAGATAATAAGATATAGAGAGATTCATATCTGACTGCTGAGCAGAAAGAAAGAGCTTCACAAGCTTCTATGAATAGAGTGTATAACAGAGAGATCAAGAAAAAGAGACTCTGCTTCATCTGTTCTAAATCAGAATATCTCTATATAAACTGTCTGAATAAATCAAAATAGAAATTTGAGAAGTCATAGACAGAGTCAGTAACAGTCTTCTTAAGAGTCTTAAAGCTGACATCTGAATCTATTGCTCTCTCAATGAAAATACTTGCTTATGAAGAGAGATCACACTGCAGTACTGCTGTCTCACAAGTATGAAAAGTATTAATAAACTCAGAATTTCAGGTCACTGTGATGTCTCTAAAGCTCACAGAGTGAATGAGCTGAAAGATGAAGACTGAGAACCTGCTCTTATAATAAGCAGAGTGTGAGAACTCAGATCTGAGAACTGAGAGACTTGTAAGAGTTATCTTTAAATTACAAGATCTCTCTGAAATCTGAAGAAGATTTGTGAAAACTGTGATTATCACAGATATTATAGATAACATGTATATTCTCTATAATATCAAGACTCTGAAGAGGGAAAGTCTTGATAGAGAGTATACAGTAGTGCATATCTTAGCAGTTTCTATCTCATTCTTCTGCAGCAGTTAATGCAAAAAAAAAAAGATCTTAGAAATAGTTTTTTACTTCTCTTGAAAAAGTAAGGTGTTTTTCTCTGGGTTTTACACAATATTCTTACAAAGAATTAAAAACAGAGTTGTTTTCTGTCATAATTTCATATTCTTTTAAGTAAGAATTACTATTTCAGTGGCTGAAGAGCTTTCATTAATACTTAATTCTTTTTTACACTCTTTATTAACTGATTTGAGTTGCACACTTGTTGTGTGAGGAGAATTGAATAATTTAGAATAAAATTGAATAGTTTTAATCAATTTCTCTGCAAAAAATTGATTTATTTTTTGTCAGTTTTTCTCTCAAAAACTGTCATATCATCTGATTTATTATCAATTGATATCATACTTTTCCTCACTGTATCCCAAGAAAGAGATTGTAAAGATTTTATTGATTTATCTTAAAAATCAATTTTAGTTTATTAGATTCTCTTCAAAAATCTAACCTAGTTACTGAACTAGTGTGAAAAAAATCAGGTGTTTTATACACAAAAGTCTTTTATTCTTCTTTTGAAACAGTCTGACCAACTTTTCAATTGAAAACAGACTTAGAAATATCTCAATTGAAACAGTCTGACCAACTTTTCATTGAGTGAAAACAATGAGTTCAAAAATACGCTCAGTTGATGTGGAAAAAGATGCTTTCTCAAATGCTATTCCTGAGATTGAAATTCTGAAGAGAAGAAAGAAAGAAGAAATAGAGAAACAACAAGTTCTTGAAATACAGGAACTTGAAAAAGCAAGCAAGATTCTTGGAAAGCAGTGTCTGAGTGAGATGAATGAAGAAGTTCTGTTAATTCTTCATGCTCAGGCCAGACAACTACAGAAGGTGATCAAGTTCAAACTTGGAATCTCAAACACAGTTCAAAAAACCTTGAAAATTCCTAGTACAATTACTGACTCTTCATCTTACTCTTCTTCTTCCTTTCTTCCTACTTCTTCTTCTTCTTTGAATCAGAAGAAAACATATGCTCAAGCAGCTGAATCTGCTGTCTCTAAACCTGCTGTCTCAAAACCTGCTCAAAATCTTGAGAAAACTGAGAAGAATACTGCTCATGCCTCTATTCATAGAAAAGTGGAAAAGAAAATGCAAAAAGAGAAAAACTTTCAAATCTCTAGAAATAGAAGACTCATTCTCAAAGTCTCAAACCAGGACATTC